ACAGGTCTGCTGTGAGCAGTAAATGAAAAGACGATAATTAATTTATTAAATCAATTCACCAGAACTCCTTTTGGTTCTTAGGAAACATAGTTTTTAGCAGGGATGCACATATACTTATCCCATATATTCATAGGTCAGTTTTCATATATATTTCACATTCGGTTTTCTAAAAGTAAGATGGATTTCTCCAACACCACTTTCAGGGAAGATTGAAGCAGACAAGAGAAACTGGCGTTAATTATATTTTACAGAGAGGGGTGTGTGGGGGTGGGGTGGGGGGAGGAAGAGCCACCGAAAGAAGCCTAGCCTGGAGTTCAGGTTCATAACTTTCCATGAGATTTCACCCCTAGATTACCTGCTGCTAACTCTTTCACCAGCTCAGCAATGAAGCAATACGGCCCACGATGGGAGCGTAAGTGTACTTTGAAGAAATGTATCACTATTTTATCATTTTATTTGTCTTCACTCATGACCCTTAAACGACATACCTGTTCTATTTGTCGAAAGTGGGCTGGAGGAGTGTGCGACTCACCCTCTCAGCATCTCTCTGAGAGGAGACAAATAGCATATCGACGCGACTATGAACAGGACGGGAAGCCGCCGACAAACCAACCTTTCTTTTCCTGGGAATGGGCTCGTCAAAGAGAAGGTTGCTGGCCTCTGCCTCGTCGATGCCGTCGTCGGCCGGCGCCAGGCTGCGGAAGGGCTTGAAGCTGTCCGCCGACAGCGGTGGGGATGGCGTGGACGGGTTGGACTGATCGCTGGGGGCGCTCCAGCTCCAGTAGCCGCTGCTGCTGGTGCTTGAAGGGACGCCTCCGGCCTCCTTCCAGGATCCGCCGAGCCCTTCTGTGGGTTCCCCAATGACAGCGTCAGTGCCCAGCCGAGGGGGACTCCGGGGTGGGGAAGAGGGGTAACCCCGGCCCTTGAACCTATCACTGTGAAAGCACTGTGAGCCCACTCAGTAGTGTGCAACAGCTGGGTACGGAAGTTTTTACTCTATTTATTCTTTAAAGAAGTCACACAACGTTTATAAACAGTCATCTATCCACATGCTCACAGATTCTTCTGACAGTTTTCTGGTGTATTTCATGTAACACTAGTTTCTTAGGGTGATAGTGATGAATCTAAGAGGGAAAAGAACCCAGCCTACTATCTTGCTAAATTTTGGGAACTCTGCATTTGACTGCAGTATTTCTAAGAGTAAATCGTTTTCAGTATTGGGTCACAGTGTTTCTCTCCCATTTTAAGTTTTTAAAAGGAATTTCCATAGGGACTGTGGCCCTTGGAATATATTTTTAGGAAAAGTTAATCTCAGATTTAAAAGTCTAAGAGAAATAACTTCTGGATAGTTACCCGAAGTTGTTTCCCAAGCTGCTATTATTGTAGCAGATGGTAGTGACTTCTATTTGGTGCTTTACACCCTCACAAAGCTTATTCACGCAAATTCATGAATTCTCACAACTGTCTCGCAGAATAAGGAATATTAAGCACCTTTTACAGATGAGAACATTGAGGTACCAGAAGTTAAGTGATTTGCAGATGGGCCCCAGGCTGAAAGCTTGGTCTCCCTGTTGACCTTCTCTCTCTGACAGTGCATGTGGGTCCTGTGATGTGAGCCTCTTTTATCTCCAGGAAAGCTGAGATTAGAGAATAGTTTATTGGTATTAATGACTGATAAGATTGGTGTTGAATTTTACCCTTCCACTTATGGGAGGAAAATTATGAAATGTTTGCTAAGGTAGAAAGATCTTTGCTCAGCTAGAATGTCTTCTGGGGAGTTCTTTTAATCACTGAAGATTTGCTTTACTGTTCCAGATGTCCAATCTTAATTAACATTTGTATAAATTCTACTTTCTTTTTGAATAATTTTTCCTCCATATTTATGTGTATTTTGAATATATTAAAGCTATATTCTAACTACAAGGGGAGGAAATCCCAAACTGCCTCATTAAAAAAATACTGTTAACATTTGTATAATTAGTAATGAAGAGAAACAGTAGACTAACATTCATGGATGAATTTCTTGACTACCTTCCCCTAATTATAGACCTCCCACATATTCCTTAGGTATATGAAGTAAAAAGTTCAGTTAGAGGAGTGAAGTTTTGAGTTGAAACATCAGAAGTTACCCATCTCATTAAAGCAAGATTCTAGCAGCATCCAATGTCATTTATGCAGGCTCACATCTTGCCAACATCAACAAAACCAAATCAGCATCTTGCTCCCTGCAGTCTACACAGAGAAGGAAGAACTCACTGGATTCGAGTTGCCTATTATAAGTAAGAATGCTTCATCCCATATAACACAGCTTCAAGGAGAAGCCTAATGTAGGGCCTTAGGTAATATTACCTAGAGTGACAAACTCAGTTGGCAGGCCCAGGAGGCTTATAAATATACTGCAGCATACACTTATAAAATAAGTTCATTGTGCTAGATGTGTAATCATGTTAAATATGTGGAACTGAATTTATTTTGAGAACCAACTATTATTGCAATGTGGTTACACTGCTTCATGTCAATGCCGAAAGTTAATTTGCTTACTTAGGAATGACATTTCGGCAGAAACACTATTTAATCAGAAGGACAATGTGAATGTGATATAGAAATGAGTTTTTTCAGAAAAAAGTCAGAATCAATTCATAATATTTTTTAGAGAGCAATGTCTCCTTCTCTTAGGTCAGCACATGTCAAAAAAAAGGCACTGCTAGAAACTCTTTGCAGAGCCAAACCCTGACAATATGATACTTTCAGGCACAGAAAAGGATCATAACAGTTTCCAAAAAGTCACTTATGATACAATGTTCTATATCTATATATGTTATTCATAAACACAATGATTTCTATTTAAAAAAGAAAATCAGAACTTTTTGTCATAAATTGCTTAAAAAATTAAATCAGAGATAGTAATTTGAGATTATTAGGTGGGTAGTTATTTTTCAAGTACTGATGAATTCTGATTTTTTTTTTAGAATTCTACCAACAAAATTTGCATTGAAAGAGCAAAAGGTTTATATGGATTCTAACTTTTCAGGACAAAGAAACATTCTTAATGTTCTCAATTTAAAAAGAACCCACATTATTAAATAAGGATTATACTAAAATATACTTTTCCTCCTCTGAGAATTCCATGAACTTCTGCAGTTCCTTTTTTCCTAGACTAGGTTTTTTGGGTGGGCATTCAGTTTTGCTTTTGTGGTAGTCCTTCTTAGCAGTGTAGCCAAGTTGAGAAGGGAAATCGGGACACCTGCTTGCCAAGAGGCTCCAAAAAAGGCCAGGATAGCAGCCGGTGTGGTCAGGTTTACTTTAGCTATTACCTTGGCTGGGCCTTACCCCAGCTTGTGAACCATGATGGTAGGTGTGATTTATGGTACTGACTTAATTTCCAGCATCCTGATCATTTTTCCTACTTCTACCTGCAATAAGTTTTGGTGAGGACTCATGGGTGTTCCATACATTTATTTTAACACCTCTTCTTACATCTACATAACGTGTGACCCACAACATAATCCATATTTGACTACACTGGCTTTTGACACAAGGCTTCCCTTGTAGCTAAGTTTCTTTCAGTGGCCTCAGTGCATTGCATTTCAGTGACCTACAGTCTGGCTTCTATGCACGACTAGCCCACTGTGAATGTGCTTCCCTAAATGACTGCCTACCAAACTTCTTTTTGAGCAGAATTCAGTCTTTTCATGTTTGACCTTCTGAAGCATTAGTTATCTTTCCCAAAAGATGACTTTTCCCACCTTAGTTTCCATGAAAGAAAACACTTTTCTGATTCTCCTTTATTTCTCCCATCACCCCTCGCGATCTTCCTAGGTTCTCTTCCCTTACATGAAGGCGCCTCAACACTCCCACATGAAGTTGCCTCAACACTCCTCCCTCCGCCATCTTCTCTTTGTCTCCATGTCTACACAGCTCATTTACTCCTGTGACATCAAAATGTTGTCTTTCGGTTCGTCATCCTCAGTTCAGATTTCTCTCTGAGGTTTCACTCCAATTTTTACCAGATATGACATCTCCTGCTAGCCTTCTGATTTATCATCCTGAATTTTGTGAGTCAATAATATATTATGATTAAGATAGTAGATCTGGAGTAAGAAAGATAAGGAATCAGAAAAATGCCAACTTTGGTATTTACAAGTAATTAATCCCCATGTGCCTCAGTTTATTCATCTGTAAAATAGTGATAACATATCATAGAGTTGTTGTGAGAATTACATGAGATATACCCAGTCTAATATCAGGCACATATTAGCTCAATAAACGCTAGCTATTCCTATGGCTATGATTAGTAGATTAGTACTCCTAAAGAGACTTATCCTACCTAGGAGTATGGATACTGTTTTTCAATATTGTATTCAAAACATCTAGCATGGTCCCTTAAAAATATATATTGAATGAATGTATGGAAAAAATAACTATATTTGATTAAGACATCTGGGAATACTTTTTAAAAATGTTTAATCTTCAGGGTTCTTTAGCCCAAGTACCTCTCCAATCAAACAGAAATAATGCTGGGGAAAATAACTTCCAATTCCAATCTCTGTTCTCCTGGGCAAAAAGCACACAAAGACTGCAAAGTTATAATCTGGAAAGGTGACAGAGCTGGGTAAGTGAGGGTTCAATGGAGATCAGTGGGGGGTCTGGGTAGAAGGCTGATAGATCTGGGGTCACCATTCTTCCACATTTCCTTCTTGCTTCTTGCTAGCAGAAAAGGGCTTGTTACTCATGGCATTTGATTGGAATGAGACCTCTCAAAGAAAGGTTCTACTTTGGGAACCAGAGGTGCTCCCTCATGCTTTATATATGGCAGGCTTACCATTTTGCCGCACGGGAGGGCTTCGGACCAATGGGCTGGTAGATAAGCTGGTTAGTACCATTGCGGCTGTCACCTTGTCCATGTCCAGTTCCTCTGAAGACTTCCTATAAAATAGCGAAGAGCACTGTTAACTGTGTTCACTCAGCATCTGTGTGGGCCAATGCCATGTGTTATATGCTGCCACACACATTTACTCCTTGAACTTATTCCAATGGAAATATTTATTTCAATGCAATATTTTTGTTAGCTTTACTGTAAAGATGAGGCAGTGGGGGTCAAAAGACTAAGGGATTCGCTCAAAATCATATCTATTAGGAAGAGAAGGATTCATCCATTTGTCATTCATCGAACAAGTGTTTATTGAGAGTATGCTGACGGATAGACCCTGTTCAAAGCACGGGGGGTGGGGGGGGATGTGTGGACAAAAGGCAAGGCTAATGGGGAGTAACACAAATATGAGTAAATAAACAAAAAGGAACATAACAAGTTCTGGCAGTGACAAGTGCTTTGAAGGACATGAACAGGCTGACACACAGTGACTGGCTGCACTTCAGGTGCAGGAAGGTTTTGCTGAGGAGGTGACAGCTGAGGTGAAGTGTAAAGGGGGAGGAGTAGGTCCTGAGGAGGTGGGAAATGCACTCCCAGCAGGAGACAGCCTGAAGGCCAGGCTGCAGGAGCCGGAGTGGGCTATTTGGAGAATGACCTAATGGGGTCAGAAGGGGAGAGCAGTGCCGAACAGTCAAGAGTGGTGCTATGGACGTGGGAGGTGTTTTATTTTATTCAAAGTGGAACAAGGAGTTGGTGGAAGACTTTAAGTAGGCTTAAAGATATAACATAATTAATATTTTAAAAATAACTGAGCTACTATATGGAGAATCGCTTTTAGAGAAAGCAGAACAGAAGCAGGGAGGCCAGTAAGGAGTTACTGCTAGAGGGCAGATGACAGGCAAGGGTGGCTTGCCCTGGGGGTGAGGGGCAGTAGCAGACAATCTGGCAGGACTGGTCAGTGCCCTGAGTGAGAGGTCCACAAAGGGAGCCACAGAAGCTGGCTCCCAGGTGTTTGTTTTGAGCATTAGCTACAGTCATTGGCTGAAAGGGGGTGGGGGTGTGGGGGGAAATAAAACTGGGATGTTTTCACTCTAGGGCTCTGCTTACTCTCTACTAAAGGAAGGCTGGGTCATAGGTATATGTTACTATGTTGTTAAAGTGAAGAGCCACTGGTGATCATACATTGAGACGAAGAATTTGCTCTGGTTCATTAATTTTGGCCAGTTAACCCTGAAAAAAGGTTCATTAGATAATAATCATTGTGAATAGAGTCAGCAGTATAAGCTTCTTTAAATAAAGAAATTAATATCTAGAGGCAAAAATGTATGTAGTACACTGACATCAGATAAATTGTACCACCTCTGGAGAAATGAACATTTTCAAATTAGGGAACAGGTGAACAAGCACAATAGAGGATTAATAAGCCATATCAACAAATGTATTGTCACTCTGACAAATGTGGCTTTCATTCACAGGTGTGCTATATAATTTGTAAAAGCAATGAACTCATAGAGTTCAAAATTTGTAGTATTGCTTCACAATACAGTGGGAAAAAGAGATTCTTAAATTGGAGAAAAATCAAGGGGTTCCCAATTTGGGGATAAGGCCGATTAATTAATTTCATCAGGAAGTTACAAATATTATTACAACTTGACTCTTGAATATCCACCATAATGCTAAATTACTAAGCAAATTCTAACATTCCAAACCAAGGTGTGAAGAGAATCTTTGAAATTTACTTCTATAGTTCTTCTCAAAGTACCTTATTCTCTTTTTTCAGCAGAATATTCAGTCATAAGATAAATTATTTGTTTCAAAGACTGATAATTAAAAATATTTCTGGGCACTCTGTGATGAGCCCATGGTCCCAACTGGGGCCAAACAAATTTCTCCTATGGCTGCCAAGAGTCCTCGCTCTCATTTAAGCAAGAAACAATATTCCCCGAGCAGAGTTGTAGGAAAGAGGGAAGCAAAAAAAAAATAAAATAAAATAAAAAATAAAAAATATTTCTGGGAAGCACAATTGAGAACACAATGAAATTCACTCTGTAGAAGTTTGCAAGAGGATATTATACACGTAGGAAAGAACTGCTTGCTCATTTGGCTGACCATCTTAAGATTCCACAATATCCACAATTTACAAAAATTATTCTACTTGGGAGTAAAGGAGATGCCAGTTCCTTACAGAAATAAAGTCTCTTGCAACAACACCAGGGAAAGACTATCAGTCACCTTAAGTTAATTTGAGTCTTTTGTCGGCTCAAATTGCTCATACAGTGATGGTCACAGGAGGATGGAATACCTTGGAGGCCCCAGTGGAGAAAGGCCAGTTATGTGAACTGCCATGTAGACATGGGATCTCCTGTGACTGTTCTCCCAGAGCCCAACCGTGGGGACCACTCTACCCCAGAGTGGGGCACTAGGGAGCAGGCTGAGCTCTTGCCCCTTCTGAGACCAGATTACAGGAGCTGCTGACTTCTCTATTTTTCTTATTCACAGAAGGGTTAAGAACCAGGGCAAAAGGCGCAGGGGTCTGGCACAGGGAATGGCATGCCTTTGTGGGGTAAGGTTCCTTTGCCCTGTGTCCAGTTGCTATCCAGTATCACCTTTTCCTCTCTTGGTTTAAGGGATCTTTATATCTCCTTCTTTAAACTACTTTGTATCCTCTTTGTGTGTGTGTGTTTTTTTTAATATTTAAAGTAAGTATTTGTTTTAGAGGTCTCATTGACAATTTAAATACTGACTTGTGTGTTTTTATATGAAGAACAATAAAAAAAGGTATCATTATGGGCCGTCTCTGGTGGTGCAAGGGGCTAAAGCACAGCCCTGTGAAGCTCTCTGCAGCCACTGAAGCACAAGTTTGATCCCTGACCAGGGAGGTGACCAACGGAGACCTGTCCTCTCTCACCCGCTGCTCCCCTCAGCAGTGCATTTCGGTCACTTTTCTGCTCCCCCATTCTGTCTCTGGTGAATCCTTTCACCCTCTGTATCTCTGGTCTGTATTCCAGCTCTTGTATACATACATAAATAAATCTTTAAAAAAATAAAGGTATCATTATAAAATACTAATTTATTTTGCACTGCCAAAATCCATTAGTACATTTCAAAATAATTATTGAGTATCATGAAGTAGATTTCTAGTAAAGAGTGAAAAGAAGGGGAAACAGGATAATCAAGAGTGCCTTTGTGTTTAAATCTTCTTTAGCTTTCCCATTGGCAGTAGAGGGTCACTAATAGCAATAAAAATATCAAAGAGGCCCTCCCTGGTGGTGCAGTGGGTTAAAGCACAGCACTGAGAATCTAGAGCCGCTTCCGCATGAGTTCGATTCCCGCCTGCCCCGGAGGTGACCACATGGCGTGGCAGACCTCTCCTGACCCGCCCGCTGCTCCCCTCAGCAGTGTATTTCGTTGATCTGCCTGTTCTGCACTCCACTCTGTCTCTGGTGAATTCTCTCACCCTCCACATCTCTGGCCTGTATCCCAGTTCTGTATGCACAAATAAAATCTTTAAAAAAAAAAAATCAAAGAAATACATTGCTAGTAACTCCGTTAACCTGTATTTCTCAGGGAGTATTTTTACCATGCAAAATGAAATGATACCAGATGATATGGCCTTGTTCAGAGTTGTTTTTGTTTTTATCTTTGTCTAATTTCTTTTGGTACAGTACTATCTAATTACTGATTAACTGGTGCTGCAAATTCAAATCCTTATAATTAAACATGAAGTGATAACACACAAAGTAGAACTTGTTACACTTTGAGAAAACCACTATAAAGACCTGGTAGATTTACAGTGAAGGGAAAAGAAACACTAGCAGTGATATTAAATATTTTTTTCTAGTCTGAAACTGAGTTTGAATCCATTGTTGAAAACTTTACCAAATAAAAGTAATATTTATTGTCATCCTCAATGCCATTTGTCCCTCGGTTTGACCTGCCTTCAATGGATGAAGTCTTCAAGATGGAAGAATCACATTTCAGGCAAGGAAGCAGCAAGCCCTTGGCCTGCAGCCCCCTAGAACCCCTATTTAAAGGTGCAGATAAGAACAAAAAGCAGAGCTGGGGCCACATCATGGAGGCCACATGTCAGGCTGAGCAGCTTGCTGTATTCTTGCAAGTAGAGAGAAACCACTGAACATGCATGGATCCCGGAAAGAGATAAATGAATACAATCTGTAATTTAGAACTGCGTCAAAATAGAAAATGTAATGGAAAAGGAAGGGCTAAAGGTAGTTGACCTAGCTGTTGAATAGTCTTAATTTAAACCCAAAGGATTAGACTGAGAAACAACTGTCTCTCTGTGAATAGATAATATTTAGTCTATGACTGAAGAACTTCCTGGATATTTGCTAGGGAAGTGTCCTGACCTCTCTGGGAGAGCAAGTCGAGGCAATGGTTAAGAACGCAGGCTCCAGATCCACTCTGCCAATACTAGCCATCTGACCTTGGGCAAATTACTTAACCTCTCTCCATCTCTGTTTCTTCATCTGTAAAAGGAGGATAAAAATAAATCTGTTGAGAGGATCAAATGAGAAGACATATGCAAGCACCGGGATGAATTTCCCCCATAGTAAACATTCCGTGGATGTTAGCTATTATTAACCTCCAAATTCATGATACACCTATCACCTGTATGTCCCGTCAAAGAGGAGGGCATTCAATTATTTCACTTGCTTTTCTTATCTGCCATCAGCGGTATCCGTTGTTGCTTTGCTTTTCTTGTTAGTTTTGGTGGTGATGGTGTTATTTTTCATAAAGAACAAAGCTGTTATAACTTCATAGGAGCTACCCTGTAAGAGGTGGCAGTTGGCACACAGAGGAACAGCTGCTGGGGCCCTCCCTGCAGTTTTGCACTGGTGCCTTGGCAAAGAGACAGCGTGTGACATCGTGGCTCTTGAGGGCTGTACACAATAGCACAGGCTGGGGTTGGGGTGCCGTTTGGATTTTATATTTAGTGTGCCTGTTTCAATCTTTGCGCTGGGGGTTCTCGTGGTATGCTAGTAGCTTCTGGGTACTGGAAATATAGTATTGAAGAAAACCCAGTAGGGCCTGCCCT